AATCACTCCAAACACTGCTCCGTCCATTAGGAGTAATTTGGAGACTCACGCGCCCCCTTTATACATGGGGGAGAAGAAGAGGGAGCAAGGCATTAAGCAAAGGACGAGACCTCCTAAAGGAAAATCAAACAAACATTAAGGAAAATGCACGAAAATTCAAGAAAGGAGCTCAAAAGAGGAGTAAGGAAATGAGGCAAGCGAGTCTTGCTCGACTAGCACGATATGGCATAATACCTGCTCTCCTCTTGTTCCTAGCCCATTTGATTATCGGAGAGCCAATTTCGATAATTTCACAAACAGAGAATTGTCGAGTACGAGAAGGTACTCGAATTTGCACGATTTTAAGCTCCACAACATTGAGCTTACTACCAGCAGGGCAACCAACCACTCTTCTAATCAAGGATAAAAGAGGAGACATTTTGGGAGCATTAATGCTCACCCTCAAAGCTCTAACGCTCAATTGCAATCCAAGGACACTCACATATTTGCGAAGCTACCGTATAAGTACCAGATCAGTATGGAGATGCCCCAGTGGCGGATCATGTTCTGGTAGCTTCTGTTCACAAGTAGGAGCAAACACACACATACCCGAACTAGTCGAGGTTATGGACAAGCCCGGGAGCAGTGGCTGTTTGGAATCCTCCGCTCTATGGAGTAAAGGATGCGGATTTCCAACTGCCAGCTGCTATTTCTACCGTTGGTATGCTATCCCTATGACTCTCGATGTTTTTGAACTTTTCGAGTGTCCTACTTGGGATTTTCACATAAAGACGACATTACAACTCACTGTTAATGACCAAATCGTAGAGGAGACAGTCACATTACATCCGGGATTAACCCATCATTGGGCCAACATATCACTTACACCAATTTCAGTGACGAACCCTCCAGCTCCGGTTTTGAGCACTCCATTCCTTACTCATGGATTTTCGGTTGCTCTAGGAGACGGAGTCCCAACAGACCTAAAATGTCAAGATAGGCCGAGTGCAGCCGGGTTTGGCTGCAATATTTCATCAAATACCTGTAAAGATTGCCGTCCTACACCCGACGGATCAATTACATGCCAGTGTAGAGAATTTGACGGGGAAGCAATTTTGGCAGACCCCGTAAAACGATTACCTCTAACTATTGGCCGACACACTTTTCTGACTGAAGACGACCAAGTATACGTCGAACAGTCATATACTCCTATACAGATCAATCTACAAATGAATAATTTCCAGTTAGTGACAGAAATAACCGAGTCCACTTGTCAGATAACAATAGATGACGTTAGTGGCTGTTATCGCTGTTTAACAGGAGTTCAAATCAAATATTCGTGCTCGACCGATTTTGGGTCGTCACTTGCCGACATCAGATGTGACGATGGTATTCATTTTATTGCTCGATGTTCCTTTAATGGAACTGAAGGAGCAGCACATTTTGCCTACAATAGATCAAAAATTGACACAGAGTGTCAAGTCAAGTGCCCAGGAGGAAATAGTCAATTACACATCAAAGGACAGCTCTTATTTATTCCAATACAGTGGAGGCAAGAGCGAATTGTCCAATCAAGTAAAGGTGAAAAATCCTCAGCATGGAATTTTAATCCATTAAGATTTCACCCGATTTCGCTTATAATGACAAGTTTACCGCTTCCATCTCCATTATATTTATTACTAATATCCACTTTAGTAATAATTGCAATTTATAGTATTCTGCGTTTTAAATTCGCAATTTGGAGAAAAATGAGCTCTCTGCTCATCACAAGTTTATTAATAAACAATTTTGCTGTCGAGGGGGAAGGGGCTTTGCGCCCATTATTAATTTTTGGCAATCATAGCCTTCCACCCCCATCCATTCACATTTATTCACAAATCGCGACCTACCCACCCTCAAAACAAAAAGAGAAAATTTGGAATGGGCACGAGCAAGCCAAACAGATGGCAAGCCAACTTAAAATGTTTGCCACTCACCCATTCGTTAAAAATAAATTGTCGAGCCATTCTTTGATTCAACTAACTTTTGGCTCTTTTCGTCTTTTGTTTATAAGAAAAAATTTATTTTCTTATACAAAAGAATGTGCAAAAACACTTAACTTAGTTTTGCACACCACCAAAAGCCATCAACACATTTCCATCTCTAAACTTTTGTCAAAGAAAGAAAAAATAAATTTTTTCTCTCCTTTTACAAAAGAGGGCACAGAAATAGCCAATCCACATATGTGTAGAAAAAATAGCGCTCACTGCTTTAATAGCAAAGCGTACAAAAAAGAAGAGTTTGGGCCAATGTTCACAACTCCGCCCAACTCAAGTTGTTTATCTACTTCCCCCAGAAAATGTTTTTTCATTCTCATTTCAACAAAAATATTTTTTAATAATTTAAATAAATTTAGGCTAATTTATTTTGCGATAATGCCGCTAGGCGATTTCTTTGCTGTTCCTCCTCGCAAACCAGGGGAAACCAGAGACGAATATCTGCAAGCTTGCCTTGCTAAAGGATATAATCCCACTCTTCCGGAGAAAGGTCAGAGTATGGCTGATTATATTCCGAAAGAGCTGGGACTGATATTTTTCGACTCCTTGTGTGGAAATGAAGCACGCCGTAGGGGAGAAGGCCTGCTTACGTTTTTTTGGGAAAAACTCAGATGCCATGGACTTCCTTTGCCTGATGAGGAACCATGTTTAAGCCGGGCAGCCAGGGAGGAGCTTGTTGAGCCAAATTTAACCGTGGCTCAATTTTTTCGAAATAAAGGAAGGGCCTTGACACACCCGGACCTCCCCTGCATTATCATTAAGGGGGGAATCCGTGGCTCGTCAAGAAAGAGCCGAAGACATGCTAGAGTTGTTGGACACCAGTGCTGGAAGGTGGGAGAGTCCCACAAGAGCTTCTTTCCGTTGGAGCAAATCATTTACGATCCGACTGAACCGGATCCAAGTTTTGGAGGAAATGCGGCCACGGGTTTCACCCCGCCAAGCTCACCGCCACCAGAATTACCACCAGGAGAAGGCCCATCAACTGAGGAGGAACACGCAAAAGAAAAAGAAAACAATGAGCTTAAAATTAGCTTTCCGCGAGGAGGACCCCCGATTCGCGCGCTCTCAATTTTGCTTTTTATCGCGGTTTTTACCGCTTCCGTGAATGAAAATCTCGCTTGTTGCATTAATTCACCCGATATTTCTCTCTCTCATTTTAATTATTTCTTGCCTATAGAAATGAAAAGAAATTCTTCTAACAACGGCAACAACAAAGCGGAAAAACGAGCAAAGGAAAATCTCTACCTAGAAGTTTTCGGGCCACCAACTTCAGCTGCTCAGCAGCAAGAAATGGAACAACATTTAAAAGAAATGAATGTTGAACAACTTTTAGAAATTGGAAATAAACCAGTTATGGCGGTGGCACCAGAAGAAATGGACAACTCTACCACCAGCACTTTATTAAAAGCAACATCGGAAATTATTAAAAATAAAGAAATTAATAAAATTAATTCTGCCTCTCAAGATGGAAAACAAATGGTAGAGAAACAACAAGAAAAGAAAGAATTGCCTGCGGCAACAGCTAAAGAAAATGCATTGGTTGTTTCTGTAGGTGAGGGAAAAATTGAATTGGGGGAGAGTAATAAAGGGAACATTTTAATGCCAGATCTCAAGGCTAAATTGGAGAAAGATCGCTTAAAACAAGAGAGGCAGAACCAGAAAAATCAAGCCCTCGTTGAAGCGTTCTTCTCTTTTGCGCAGAAGCTGACTGCTCAACAAACAGTGGTCAATGCGCCAGCAGCCACGGGGGGAGTTTGTGAAGGGACCGCCACTCACAAGGAAGCGGTCAACAAAATTGCGGTAACCACTCCCGCTCAAGCACAGTGGAAATGTTCTTCTTCATCTGGGCGCTCTAATGGTGGAGAAAGAGAAAAGAATTTAGGTGAGCAAGATCGGGTTGAGTCCATTGACCGTTATTCCCGTTCAGGTTCTGGGCGTTCACATTGGGGAGTTTCTGATCAACATACAGAAACTTTGCGAAAGGTCCGAACTACCACGGGTCAACTTTGCGGTCAGATTTCTGATGCAATTCACTCTGTGGAATCTGGGAGAGCCAAGTTGACGAATGAGGAAGAACATGACTTACTGGCTATCGATGGGGCTGCGAAGAGATTGATGAAATCGATACACATTGCATTTGGACATACACGTCGTTCTCGCTAAACATTTTTTTTGTTTTTTGCCGGGGGGAGTGTGCCCAAAAGGGCATAAGCCCTACACTATTTTCCCATTCCTCTCGCATTGTTATATTTACGTACTATTTTTATTTACCGCCCACAATTTATTTTGTTTAACCACGCCTACTTTTGGCTGTCAAGTTAGCGCTCGGCTGTCCCTAAAATCACTTCTTTCAATCTTCTTTCAATTTCCAACTTCTCTCAAAATCTTATAATTTTCTAATTCCTTTAAACCCAATCAATTAAACCAACTTTTCTCCCTTCAACTGGGAGCAGGAGAGCGGAGCACTAACTTAAATTATTTGTTCGCATTTTCACCACATATTTTAATCACCAATTTATTCACACCGCGGATCCCGAGCTGTTATCGGACCGCTAAATTTATTTGTTAATTAAATAAATCTTTTCTTCTTTGGTGTGTGTATTTTTGGGGATTTTGGGTAGGCTGTCGTCGTCATCATCGCTTATAAGTTTAAGAGAACTTTTGAGTTCTCTGTCCTCCCTTTATAAGCGTCCGTCCCTCCCATAGCCGGAGGCCGTACAAATTGTGTGTCCACCCGAAAGGGCTTTTGGGCACAAACGTAAATTAATAAAAATACATAATTTATAAACAGATAAAGTTAATTTTTTAACAAATATTCGTGGTGAGGAATTCAACATTATACTTGGTGAAAAGATGAATGAAAAGACAAATCAAAACATAAATAAGCTTGAAGATCTAATCAAAAAGGTAAATAAAGTCTCTCCAATTTAAGTTTCTCCTATATCTCCAATTAAATAAATCCCCTCTTTATGTAACGGTTGAATAATGGGTAGTGTTCTTGGGGCTATTACAGAAAATTCTGTGTTTACATATTGGTTTACATCAGTCATATATTATTAAAAGTAGTTATATGTAAATTAATTAATTTTAAAAATATTTTAGGCATTTGATGACAGTGATAATGATAAGGATGAAGAAAAAGTGAAGGAAAAAAATATTGAAAAATCGCTTAAAAGTAATAAAGGTATTGTTATTAATGAAAATGCAAATATTGAAGCTTCAAAAGAAATTTCTGTGAAAGAAAAAGAACATTTTTCATTGAAAGGAAAAGAAAAATTGAATGAAAATAAAATAATACAAATAAAAACTGATGAAAAAGAAATTAGTTCATCATCAAAGAAATATGATGAAGATTATGATAAAAATATTAATCTGCAAACGGAAATCAAAGAATCAAAGGCAGCAAAAAAAGGAGGTATACAAGGAGTCACTCTAGTACATAAAAGCGCGAACTTAGATTCGAAATACTCCTCTCGCCGAGCCAAGTTTGAATATGTAATATTCTTTCACGGAGACGAAAACTCGGGGAGGAAAAACCATTAGGAGACCAAGCTGATTTTTGGGGTGAAAAATTTGATTTTACAAATGTTATCTCATTTGGCGGCTCCTCGAGCATACATTAGTCGAATGACTACAAAATTAACTTGGTTGGATGATTAAGAATAAAGTTATGACACTAAATCTTCACTGGAAAAATGTTTCTTCTCCTACGGAGGGTGGGACGGACTATGGAGGGTAGAACCGGCTTAAGTAAAAGCTTTTAGCAAAAAATTGATGATTATAAAGCTAAATGCTGTGGAACTATTAAATTTTTTATTTACTTTTTTACTCATTTCTGTTGCGTCGAACGTGGTCATCGTTCCGTTAACGGTAAAAAATTTTCCACGGAAGCCTCATGTGAAGGGTAAAAAAACAAACTATCATAACTTTGTCCAATCATGTCTCTTAGAAAGGAATAACATACTCAAAATCAGCTCGAAGAGTTTAAGTTCGTCTCTCACGGTCTATTTTAGTTTTAAAATTGAAAACGTTCTAAAAATTCTATTAAAATAATAGCATTAAATATTTTAAATTATGATAATGTCTTAAAAATATTTAGTCCGTAAAATGATGTATAGATCATCACAACCCAAATTTGAAGGGAAAAGATATTCGAAACATATAAAAGAATTACAAGAAAAACAAAATTTGAAGGAAGAAAAATAATCCTTAAATGTCGGAGAAAACCTAATGTTGAAGATGTTTTGAAATTTTCTTTGTGATTATAATTGTTTTCTAAGCAAAAGCACAATTAAACTCTCCTATATTATCCTATTCCTGTCAGTTATATAATTTTCTAGTCCATCTCATATAAGCAGGGCTCGGAATTGTGCGGATTTTGCTTCATTTTTGATAGGCCTATGACGATTATTTTTAAAAATGTGAATTTGCGGATTTTGACATGCAGCGAGAAAAAGCTATCTAAAAACGAAACATGTGGATTTTAACTATTGGAGATCCGAGCCCTGCATTTAGATGAATGTATAAATTAAAATTTTATTTTTATCATATATTTAGTATATAACAAATTTCATTAATATTTTTTTCACAAAACTTTTTAACAATTCTAATGATTAGAAACTTTCGGTCATTTTTGATGGAAATCCTTTCTTTCGATTATTATTTAATTATTCTTTTTAGATAAATTTTAAAAATCAGTTTTAAATAAAAATTAATTTCATCATTTGGGAAATTTGATAAATTAAATAATGTTTATTGAGGTAAGTAAATCAGAGAATTGGCAATGGGTTTCGTTATACAAGAAATTTACAAAAAAATTTATTCAAACGGTTTTTAAACGTCTGAATAAAAGATTTATTCTGAAACAAAGTCGAGAATCCCAGAAAATCCTACAGGGAAATTTATTATTAAACAGTTTATTAATCTTGTATAAAATCTGAAGACTAAACTCTTCTCCCTTCTCTGATTAAAAACTTTTCATAACTTCAATACAAAGTTCAATTAATAAAAATATTTAAATTTCATCACTTTATTTAATTTTTAAATTACAAATTTCTAAATTTTATTAAGAAATTCAGGTAAAATAGATAAAACGAAAATTAAATTAAAATAATAAAATATTCAATTAACGGACATGACTACAACTTGTTTATTTATTATCATCACGAAATCACATGAAGAAAAAGAGGAGTTGCTCTATGTACAGGAAGTTCTCAGAGAAGTTTAAAGTGCGCCCCAAACAGACATTCTCAGAGTGCTTCTCAGAGAGATGATTTATCCTTGGGAAAGCGATTAGGATTTAGGCTGGTGCATATAAGCTCTAAAAGAATAGGCTAAAGCAGAACACTTCATTCATTCAGCAGCCTTGTCATTCTTTAATTTTTACAAGGAGGACTTCTCCCTATATCCCCCCTTTACTGTGTGAAATTTACCTATTTTATAGATCTACTCCAAAACGAAGCATCAGGAATAGGGGGCATACCGATCTATTATATATAAATATATATTTAAATGAACAAATAGGAAGATTTGATAAATTGTTCATTACGCGATTTTTAGTTTTAAATTCCAAATGGAAAATATTCTGAAAATATAATTACTATTATATTTAAGCTAATTAACTTTAATTTATAAAAATTTTTTCTTGAAAATATATTTCTATAAAAATTATTTATAATAATTATTATAATTTATATAAATTATTATAATTTTTATCAATAAAAATAATTAAAACCTTCGAAAAGAAGAAATTAAATATAACAATTTTCACGTAAAATTTAAAAATGTTTTTAATTGAAACAACTAATATGTAGTTCTAAAACATTTTTAGAAATATTTTAACTTTAAATAAAAATACATTAGGAGCCGGATGAGTCCTTCCATATTTTAAAATGCGTCAGACGATTGGCTGAAAAAAGTGAGAAGAGTAAACGGAATACATCCCATCCCAGGCATGGACCACACATGTACGAAATTCTCACATTACGTCAGATTATTCACGCCAGATGACTATGTACACGTGTGGTCCTTTCGAAAGGATTTTTATTTTGTCATTATTTAGTAATTTATTTATGTATAGATGTTTACTTAATTTCATAATTAACAGACGATAAGTAAAGTGCAAATTTTTTAATATTTTTATTATTTAACATTAAGAAATATTTCTAAACAATTATAATAAAAATCTATTGAAGTTTAAAGATTATTTACCAAAATGTTTCTTATTTTTTAATTATTTTATTATAAAATATTTTAAAAATTTTTTAAAATTAGTTGTATTCTTTTCTTAATTTTCAATTTATTTTTTAAAACTTAAAACAAACAATTCATATTATTTTCTAAATTTTACATTACAGATTAAATTCATTATCATAATAACAAATCTTTCTTAAAGCTTTATTATTATTAAAATGTTAATTATTATTTTAATATTAATTTTATTACCTACAATGGAACATACATTTCCAATAACAAAATGTATATTTTTAAAATTAATTTTAAATATACCGCATTTCCTATATAGACATGACCATGAATTATAGCTTCTGCCTAAATTAGAGACAACCACCTCACCGCTCACCCTCCACCCGGATTAGAGCATCCCATCTTAACATAGGAGTCGAAAAATACTTATATATTTAGTATGGCATTTTATTATAGGAAATACGTTAATTTTTTTGTTTTTAGCAATTCATGGATGGTTTAATGAATTTGGATTTATATGGAATCCTTTGAATGATGAAAAATTTCAAAATATTGTAGAAAGACAATATATGGATATATTAACTTTAACAGAAAATGATGAACTTAGATTGAAAAAGAATCGTCAAATTACAGTTTTATCTTTTCTATTTCTGTTCAAAAAAGCGGAAGAGGAATTTTTGACAAAATCAAATACATGAAAGGAGTTTGTTTTTAATTATATAAGATTATGAATCTCGTAGCACTTCTCCGGTTGTCTCATCAATCTCTTTAACATGTAGGCTCAATTAGGTCTTAATAGTGATGTTAATTAGAGGTTCCGATTTGATTATTTCGGTATTCTCAATCGAGAAATGAAAGTATGCAAGTCAAAAAAAGTCCGCAGTCAAAATAAATGCAATTTACGCAATGTAGCACACTGTAGTTACGTCAGACCTGATTGCATCAGCTCTTGTAACGGCTCTGCGTCACGGCCTCAAAACCAAGGTGAGATGGTGACTTTTAATAAAGTTCCCCATCTCGAGTTATAGGCTAGTGTTATTCAAACGCGATTTTTCGGTATCGGTATTTTCGGTAAAATACCGATACCGAAAAAATACCGATTTTTTAAAAATTGTTCGGTACCGTATTCGGTATCGGTATTTCGGTAAAAATACCGCGGTATTACCGAAAAATACCGCGGTAATACGGTACCGTGAATAACACTATTAAAGGCACGGGTCTAATTTTTGTAACAAAGTTTTTTAATTTATTTTTAATTCTCTCCGACTTTTAATTTAATTTTAAATGGAAATAGATAATTTGTTGACGAAATAATTTTTACCACCAAAGTTTTGTTATAAATTAATTTAAACATTTAAAATAAAATTTAAAAAATTATAGAACGATTAACAACTTCTTTGCTTATTATACTTATAAAACACCTGCGATATGTCTGTTATTTGAATTAAGAAGAGAAATTGGAGAAGATATATTATTTGAATTAAAATATAATAAAACAATTTTTTCTGATTTAAAATATAAAAGAAAGCCAAAAATAAATTGTTATGAATTAATTAATTCTTTAAAATTTATGAAAGAAAATATTGATGTACTTCATGAAATTAATTTTTTAGTTTTTGATAAATTCTTAATGGAAAAACGTGAATCTTTCAAAGATTTTCTAATGTAATTTTTAAAATTTTTTAAAATCTAACATCTGGAAACGTTCAAACTAGGGTTGTTGGCGACTGGTTATTAAAGGTAGCCCCGGTTTTCGGTTAATCTAATTTTAGAAACCCGGTTTTCGGTTTTGAGTTTTAGGCAAATATCGGTTTTATTTTGTGGGAATTTTAATTACTCATTTTTACAAATTTCCGGTTTTCGGTTTTTTAAATTTTCTAAAAACGGTTAATTTTTGGCAAAAAATTTCTAAAATTCCGTTTTAAAACTGGTTGCCAACAACCCTAGTTCAAACATAATTTAAAAAAATTAAAAAAAGTTTACAAAATTGTAGCAGGACAAATTTTGGTAATGTTTTGGTTATGTAAAATATTTTCTCTCATTTTTATAAATAATTAATCCCTCCTAAATTTCCCTTTCGAGTAAATTAAATTGAGACAAAGCTAATTTTATTTCAACAATTTAACCAAAATAACCTATTGAAATTAAGTAAACTTCGAAAGGAAAATCCAAACACGTTTGATATATCAGTTTGTAATTTAATCGAAGTAATTGGAAAAGCAAGTTCGCTGATATTAAACGAGAAATATCCAAATATATTTTTTAATCTAGGTAATTATAATTTATTAAAAAATTTTTTTAATAATATAATAGCAGTTTGAGTTTCGCAAGCGTTCTTGTGTGAAATCCGCAGAGTATAGGATATAGGCAAGCGCTGGATATAGAAGAGTTTCGGATCGGGAGAAGTCTTCTCTCCGGATCGAACACTAAGCAAACTGTTGTTTAATTCTTCCTTCACCGGCCGGTTGAATAATTCTGCACAATAATAGAACAAAAGATAAGTCGACTAAACCCTTTTTCCTTATTTTCTCCGAGCTTTTAATGCTTGCTCACTTCTTCCTAGAACCGCCTTAAGGCTGAGTGAATTTGCCCAGCGATCAGATAAGCAAGCATATTTGCTCTCTGAGAATAACCGTTTGTGATTTAGTTTGGATCGCTCTGGGAATTTACGTCACTTAGCGCAAAGTTTAGAGCAACATTATTGGTCACGTGATTTCAGGATGATTCCGTCCTTACAATACTTCAAATTTAAGATTCTGAGTTGGTTATTGTACCAATTTACAACCATTATT